AAAAACCTGACACAAAAAGCAGTGCAATGCATGTACAACTCATGTGTGCCAGCACACATAGAGGCTGGGCTATAAGAGCAGTGCCGTGGCTGCTGGCCAAGCCTCGGTGCTGCCTGACCTGTGCCCCTGCTGCTCAGTGCCATCAGATAAGACTGCTGGGGCCATCACCGGTAGTGGCCCCAGCTTCCAGCTCTTCCTAACCAGGAGGAGCTGGGCAAAGGCCATTTGCCCATTACGGGACAGTTTGGCCTGCAATGAAATGCATGTGTAGGGATGTGAACTGCGGCAGTTTGTGCCGCTGCAAGCACATGTCCCTGCATGTCTGGACATGGCCAATGATTGTAATTATACTGACAGGACAGATCTGTTGAATAATGTTACAATTTCTATGTAGTCACTCTTCAAAACAGAACCATATTTTAAAAATCTTTTTGCCAGTAAGAACAATGAGAGTAAATGGCAGATTGCAACCACAGGCTGAAATAGAAATGGAATAGGATTCTGCTTCTCTCATGCTGTTTTAAGATGTTTTGCTCTGCAAAATTTCTCCTTAGGAATTTGGTCCCGCTAGAAGTCATCCGGCTACTATCGGCAATGGGTTTCTTTGCTTATTAATGAAATTTCAGAATACTGTTGTATTAATTGGTGTTGCATATGGGCAGCAAATTTAAAAACTGCTTTTGATGTTGTCTTGGTGACAAAGAAATCATATACAGACAGGGTGAGCAAAGGGCAGGTTCCAAAATCTGTTTAAGGTTTTGTTTATTCTTCTTACTGCCGCCTGCAAATTTTATGTTCTAGCCATGAACTAATTTGGCTAACAGTTTTTTGTTTCAGCACTGTTAATATATTTGAACTGTATTTTACATAGTTTATATTATAGCAACTGGACCATTGTCCATAATTATGCTGGGTGGAAGGACACAGTAGGAAAATGTCTCTTTTTGAAGACAGTGAAACTACTCCCGTTCCACCAAGTCATCATGAGTTGATGCTACAGAATTAGCTTACTTATTTCTCAGTTTTTATCCTGTGTCCTGTGCCATTGTAGTATCAGGGCCCCAAGTGCAGACCCTGCCCCAAAATCACACAGATCTTTTGGTTCACACTCAGCATTCTAATATAGAAAGTTACGAAAATGATCTATATTTGTGCCTTGTTTTTTCTAGAATTGTTTTGCCCTTGGATATTGCTTTGTCTGTAAATTTTTTTTTTTTTGCAGGGTGGGGGGGCAGAGAAGGGTGCCCATTCTTTTGGAGAAATGTCCTATTTTTTGAGAGTATTGTGATTGGGGAAAGGAAAGAAGGATATCTGATTTTCTGTTTACTTTTAAGTGATCTGAAACCCATGGCATACTTGGTTTACTTTTTTCCCATTCTTTTGAATACATAGCCTAGGTCATGTCAATTAAACAACAAATGCACTTTCCTCCTGCAGTCTGGAAAGTTTTCCAGCAACTCCACTACATCTCAGAGCCAGCCACAGGGCCTGGAATATGCTGAAGATGCAGCTGAGCATGAGAACATGAAGGCTGTCCTGAAGACCTCCTCTCTGGCTGGAGAAAGCACCACTGTTCTAGGAGTCCGCACCCGAAGCAGAGCCAGTAGAGGTAAAGAGAGTGCTTTGATTTTCCTCAACCCTCCTTTCCCCTGACCAGTGATTTTCTTTTTGGCTTATTACTTGTTTCATGATAATGCCTAGAGGCCTCAGCCAAGGTCATAGCCCTGCTGAATGGTGTTTACAATCTAGCTAGTCCAGTTAACAAGAAAAACAAAGGTTGTTTATCTGAAGGGGGAACTGAGGCACAGGCATGGTGAGTGATTCTCTTGAGCTTACAAAGGTGGTCTAGGGCCAAGGCAGTAGGGAGGCAATGATGAAATAATAACCTCTTCCTATATAAGCCTGGTTGCCATTTAGATTCCTATTTACATTCCTCTGATAATGCAACCTAAATGGGACCTTCTTAATTGTTGTTTCTCCAAATGGAAGCCTGTTGAATGTACCCACTGGGCCAGAAACTGTTGCTGAAAGAGCATCCAAGCTCCTGGGTCATGGTTGTGGGAGAGGAGAAGAACAGGTCAGAATAAGCCAGAAAAGCTTCTAAGAAATAAGGATGGTTAAATGTATAAACCTTTTTTTACTATTCTAACATATTTTGCTTCAGAGCTGCCTTTCACTGTGGAAATATGAATGTAAATCCTATACACAAACTCTGTTGTCTTTGTAAGATAGATTTTGAAAAATGAAATGGGAAATGAAGGGTCAGTTGTGCTAATTACATGAGTGTGTCCTACTGCTTACCTTAGGAGTCTGTGAGTAAGGCATAATATATACCCATAATTTATATCAGTTCCAGATGCATGTACATACTGAGGTTATTCAGTGGTATATTAAAGACAGGGACATCAGCTGAATAAAACCAGGCAAGATTTGTAACAGGCCATAAGCTACTAGAGAAATCCCTGGAATTGATTCACCACCTAGCAACTTGCTCTTCTTTGAGGCAAGTAGGGATTTATTGTTGTCAAATGTCAGCATTATTGACTTCTGAAAACCAAAACCTAGGACACACAGTGTTGATCTGCAGTGTTAAGATTTAGCATTCTGACACTAGTGTTCACTGACCATCACTGACAATAAGATATCTGGATTCCATGTCCAAGTCATAATTCAGAGGGACACTTGTTTTCTAAGGCTAGGGACAGCCATTCAAAAAGCCTAAGCCTGAATTAATTCAATCTTTGCAGGTTAGTCTAACCTGCCTAGGCTAAACTGGTTTGTAACCACACAGACATCCCCTCTGGACTAAAGAAATACAGGCATGTGCCTGCAGTGGCTCAGGCTAGAAGCTGGGGGGTACTAGAGCAACCCTCCCTTCCCATCCACAGTGCTGAGCTGAGTGGGGTGTGGCCAGGCCCCGACAGGGCACTCAGATTAGGAAGGGTTTGCTGCCACCTCGCTGCTCCTCTGACTAAGGGAGCAGGGAGTTACACAGCATTTACTTACACAGCAGGGAGTTGCACAGTGTTTTTTAGCCCAACAGCAAAACAAAAGGCTCTCTCATTAGTTCAAGCTCTTCTTAAACAACTTTTTCCAAGGAAGAAATGGAGGGACATTACCAGCTACCTGTTGATTAGCTCCAAAAAGCCCTAAGCCAACACTGTCCTGTCTGCTTTTGTCCTGTCACCCACAGCATGGACCATAGCCAGCATGTGGTGTGCTAGCTAATGCTGAGAGGTGCCTGTGTAAGGCAGAGAGGAGTGGGGAATCCCTGCTTGAGCAGGAGGTGGTGAGGGGAGTTGGGGGAGCAGGAGGAAGCCAGGCAGTCTCTGCTGGAGCTGCAGCCAGGGAGCAGAGGGGAGGGGCCAGCCCTGCTGGTCTGGACCAGAGCCCTGCCCAGAGTTGCAAAGCAACAGGGGTACCCTGATTTAACTTAAACCAATAAGGAGTCTGGGACAGACATTGCATAAATCAGTTTGACCCAATTTAGTTAAGTCTGATACTACATTCAACAAGGTTTATCTCAAACCAGTTTCAACCATTTCCAAACTGGTTTATGTGCACTGAACATCTGTTCTGTTCCAGGTTTAAACCAATTTCTTATCCCTTAAACTGGTTTATGTGTAATGTCTGTCCCAAGCCTAAAAGAGCAGAAGAATAGCTAACAAGCCAATTCTTTGCTTTCTGATCATTTCACAGATACTGGGCTCATTCATTTATTTTCCTTTCATGTTTCTCTTTTTCTTTTTACTTCTGCTTTTTTTTTCAAGTGATGCTCACAAGTTGTTTATGGAGGACAGGTCATGCACCAGAACTTAAGCTATTCATTCTCTGCTTGTGGAAGAACCTGGCCTATCTGGTATCCCTTTCCCTCATGTATGGGGATCTCATTCATCCCTGATTCATTTCTGGTGTAAATGTAATCACTGATACCACATTTAGAGCCTTTGCTGATAGTAAAACCTTTTCTGGTATTTTACAAAATCTTTGGATGCCTAGTTTAGTCCAATTTGACAGCTTGGAAAGATCCAAATTTACATGCAAGCTGAATAGCTAAGATACACAGGAGAAATAAACAAGTTGTGCTACTCTGCCACAAGCTGAAGAGCTCAAGTAATTAATTAAGTGCTAGAGAGCTGTGTGTCCTGGTAATAAGAATCAGTGCCTGTTGGCTTAAGGAAGAGACAGAGAGTGAACCAGACAGAAGCCTGTTAGGAACACTATCATAATAGAACCACAGTTGACAGGAGCCAGGAAAAAAGCAGCAGGACACACTGTTATTTACTGCCATCAAGGAAGTGCCACAGGATGGTCCCATTAGTGATTTTCTAGCTGGTTACATTTCTTGAACCAGCCTGTTTGGAAAGCTTATTTTCCTTTTTTCTGCTTACTAGCTAAAAACCAACAAGTATACAGTATCTAATGGAAGAACAAAACAGTTGTGTTTATAGCATAGCTCAACGTAACAGGGAGGATCTGAGTGCTATGGGTCTCCGGGGTTCAGAGGTGTGTGTTCACTGTTTGTGTTTCTAACTGGAATTGCTTATTTAGCTTTATTTGGTCTGCCAACTACTTCTGCTTTTCCTGCTGGTTACAGAATGTATGTGGTTGTGCCCAGATATGTCCACCCTTTTAAAAGGAAATGCTAGACACCTTGAACTAGACTCTTTTCCCTAGTACATCCCACTCAAGCTATTTTGGTGGCACAAAGGCTTGGAAGCAGACCATTTCTCCCTAGCAAGCACACTGGTGGCATTTCAGCCTTTGTAGTACCTTTTCTAGTCCTAGTTTAAAGGAGCAGAAAGAATCTGGCCAAAGCAAGCTGCACTTAAAATCCCCAGCTGGTAAACAGATCCTGGGGGACTCTTGCCAGTGACAAAGCCAAGAACAGAACTCTGAGGTTAAAGCCAACATACAGTTCACCAGTGGTTTTAGGGAGGTATAATTCCCCTCTAGTTCCACTCTCTTTGCTGATGCAGCAGAGAAACTAGGGTAATAATTTTAAATGTTCTATAAAGGGTAAAGGCTTTGACACTGACAAGTTTGATACAAGAATCAGAGACATACATTACTCGGCCTTGATTTTGCAGTTGGATATTTGCAGTGGAGGGTAGTTTTTTGTCATTATTTCTAAGAAAAAGTTTGTCATTCTCCAGGGCGAATCGGTTCATGGAATGCTGGTAATGATGATTCACCTAACGCAACTGACGATGCAGCTGATGAGATCATGGATCGCATTGTGAAGTCCGCCACACAAGTGCCAAGTCAGCGAGCGGTGCCTAGAGAAAGGAAACGGTCACGAGCTAACAGGAAGTCATGTGAGTATGCCTAACACACTTGTGGGAATAGAAAAGAAAGCTACCTATCAATCTGTCTCTTTGCATATACTGCTCTCTGCATATATGGGTAAAGCTGTAGGGCCTGTTCCTTATCTGGTATAAATCAACCTACTCTCCAGCAATGTCACTGAAGTCAATCATCTTGCTATTTCTGTCTTCACTGGAAGGGCCCTGTGACTCCCTCTCTATCCATGTGTTAGCATTTCCAGGAAGTTACAAGAAAGATGCAGGAGCAGCAAATGAAAGATCAAGCAGACATAGGTTTTGTGAACAGGTACATTAATATCATGGGTGATTTTGTTTAGGAAGTGCTTGGTTTCTATTAGTTAGCATAGGCTGAAGGCACAGTCGCCCCCAGAGTTCTAAGAGGAGGCAGCAATTTCCTGGGAGGATTTAGAAGCAACATCGATATTCTTACTGACTGGGCAACCCTTACAGCAAAGAAAACAAGTTGATGCCGGATTCTTTCTCTCACTTTCTGTGGCAAAGTAGATTGCAGCTTTTCACAGCATAATCCCTGCCACCACCTACTTTTTCAATATATGCTTGTGATCTCCATATGTGCTTATTGCTGTCAGTGATTTGCATATATCATACAGACCCCCTGTATGTTTGCATAGTTCTGTAGTTTACCCCATGGTAAAGTACTTCCTCTGGTCTTGACCCTTTACACACATGCACACGCACACACCCATACACACAAGATGTGTGCATATGCACAAAGCATATGTTCTGTTTCTTTGTGAGGCACCTTCATGCTATGGCTAAAAAAAAGAAGGAATGATAAAAGTACCTTATATTTTTCTGTTGAGCCAACTTGCATTTGTATTTAGTGAAAAGACCACTGGGGATTAAAAACTTAGTAAATGTTTAGGCTGAGACGGATTTTCAGCATAATTTTTTATGATGGATGCCATCTCTCACTTATTTGCTCTTCAAGGTCTTGGCTAGACTTTTAAGTGGATAAGAGATATTTCAAAATAAACTTCAAGTCCAGTAGTTTGGGGATGAGAGAAAAATATAGTGAACTGAACTTTTTGTAGTAGTAGCTGATATACCTGGATAATGAATGAATAAAATCAGTGGGCTTTAAAAAACACTTAGCTGCACTGATAACAGGGCACCTGAACTTCCTCCCCAAGAAACTCAGCAAGCTCAGCCAATACTAATGCAGAATTACAGATAAGAGAATAAGAGAGGCTGTTCCGAGATAGTCTTTCCTTTTTTGTGTCCTTGTGACAAGGTACTTAGCAGAATTTGCTGTAATCTGACAGGCCACGGAGTAAATGCCTCTGCTTCTGCTGTTGCCTTGAACTTGCAGCCTCTGGGCTGTCAACCAAGCAACTTGGCACCTGCACCACCCCAGCCCATTCTAAGCTATAAAGCAAAGAGTTTGTGGAAAAATAGCACAGATCATGTATGAATATAGTGGAGCGTATGCCTGTTTTCGTGGTCTAGCTTTGCTGGGTTCTGAGTCATAGTTGTCAAAGGAGCAAAAAATGCAACAGTTGTGGGTTTTTATCCACAAGTTGTTGACCATATACATCTTTCTGGATTTCAGTGTGACTTTAGTGTCCAGTATAACTCTAATGTCGCTGTAGAATTCATTTTAAAAACCAGCTATCACTGTTTTTTGTCAAAAGCCATGCAAAGCATCTGCATAGATTAACTTAAAACTCTGCAGAAGTTTTAGATGAATTTGGATTGAGCTGTGTGTTTTTAGTAAAATCAGGAGGCCAGTGAGCTATGGATGACTATATTGTAAACATTTTACGTGTCTTTACGGGATACCTTTCACAGGCAAGGATTCTGAGGATAGAAAAATGAGAGGTAAGAAATGAGTAATGTTCAGTAATCTGGAGTCAGGAGAAAACTAAAAATGGACATCTGCAAAAAAAGACAAATCTAGTGATAGAAATATATATTTTGACATATTTATTGAATTAAAGCATACTACCTTCTGCAAAATGGAATGAGATGAATTGTTGGGCAGTGTGATCACACCTGGTATGTGGGCATCATGTATTCAAGCAAATGGAATAGTTTGTGAATTTAGAGCCATCAAAAGAATCATTAAACTGTAAGAGAGTACAGGATCATCAAGATCCCAGTAATAAATGAGTGGAAACTACCATGTCTACCATATTACCCTTTAAAACATTGAGTGTTTTTAATAAATGATGGCCTGACTCAGAGTTGCTGAACTTGGAACTAGGAATTTGTTCAGTAAAAACAAATGGAGACAGAAGTTGCATACACTGAGAAAAATGGAATTAAGATGAACTGTAAGTCCATGAGTCTATGTTGAGAAAAAATTTCTGAATTAGTTAGACCCTGATACTATAGAGGCTTAATAAGATAAAATCTTTATGTTTGGTAATAACAAGAAGTCATTACTACCTGAGGTGTTTTTGATGATCTACATAATATATGTATTAGACTGGGGTACGTATAAGAACACAGTGTCAGAATTTGCATTGTCAGTCATCACAGCAAGCTGTAAGTTTGAATGAACTGCCAAAATTGAATTGCTCTGCTGCTCTTACAGGGGTCCTTCCAAGTTAGTGCTGAGGTAAACTTTCATGAGAAGACAGACTCCAGTTTCTAGGACTGTAAGTCCATTGTGCTTCAACCAGCATCAACTACCACTGGAAATGGGAGAGTGGGAGGGAAGAACTGAAAGGTGTTGTTTCCATGCTCTGAAACTGACAGCAGTTTTTCTGTGTGAAAGGTTTTTATAACATTGCACAGAGCTGTCAACTCAGCAAGGAAATATAAAATATAATAAGGATTGTCTGCTTCTCCCCTAAGGTTGAGATAAACTTCCCAAATGATGCCATAATAAACAATGTCTGTGAAGGAAAATTGGAAAGGGTGAAGTTTTTAAGAGTCACTCTGTTTGATAGTTCAAGTTCCAGTGAACAGAGCCTGGTTTGTTAAGGAGGACCACCGATTGCTGGTTTAGCAATTTCTAGTTGTTAAGATGTTCAAAAACTTGAAATGGGGGTATTTTTATAGAATTAATTGTATGAAATAGGAACATAAGAAGGAAGATATGTTTGCTCTGTATTGGAAGTCAGTGAGGCACTAACATTATGATGATTCAAAGACTGCCTGCTTCAAGTTGAAAACAAGATATAACTATCAAACCATTCACTTGGCATCACTGTTTTCAGATTGAAGAGAGCTTATGGAAACTGGTGGTAAATAGGGATGACATAAAAACTTGTTATCAATGATAGTGAAAAAAAATCACAGTAGAAAAACTGAACTGGAGGGCTATGAGTCCACACCAGTGTACTGGTGATAGCAAGGAAGCTTAGGCAGAGTGCACAGGAATTTACAGCACCTCTGCCCTCACCAAACAGAGATTGAACCATGGGGCAGCTAACAAGATTGTCTCATTTGTTATCAATTCCCTTAGCAATAGACTGCATAGACTGCAAATTGGATTTACAAGTACCTCAGTTCTGGATTATTAATAATGGGCACAGTTGGTGATCATACCTGCAAATAAGTTTCTTGACTTACTGAAAATCAGTGTAGTGGGCAAATAACAGGTACCACTGTCATAAGCAAAAATCTCACTGATGGCTGTGCTCTGTGTTGAGGAGCAGCAAGCAACTACAAACAGTGTATGCTGAAGCTCATCTGGTATAAAGATGGTGAAGGCATGAGAGATGTGCCAGGCCTGCTTTTCCAGCTCATCTTTCCCCACAAACGTTCCCAGTTAAAGTAAAAACAATCAGAATGCCATTCGAAGGTTCCTTAAGCATCTTTTGTTGCACAAATTCTTTAAGTGAATATTCACCACTAGAGTAAATCTTTAAAGATAAAGAGGAAAACATATGGCATTTTTAACGCACGTCTCTCTCTGTCTCCACTCTAATTCTCAGTTCAGGGCCCCATGATAAGTAGCACCTATCTTTTTGGTAGTTGCATCCACCTCTAATTCACAGGAGTAAGAGCTGCAGAGTCATTACAGTTCACACCCAGTCCTTGCTTTCACTGAATTAAGTCTATAACAAAACCCTTTTTCCCCTATCATAGTATGTGTACATGTGTTTAAATGAAAAATCCTCTATGGATTTAGGACAGGGAAGCCAGTTTGGATCAGAAAAGAAAGAACTCAAATCCAAGCCTAATGTTTAAATCAAACTACTTACCCCAAACTTTTTTTGAGTTCAAAAAATGCTATAAGAATGCCCATATCATCAGGTTTTAGAGTTATTGAGGTTTTCTCATAATATATTCCACCTGTGACATTGAGTCGGTACCTCTTGTCACTGTCTTATATAACCACATTGTCGCATGGCACAAAGGTGCCCTGCTCCTAGAAGACCAGGAAGTGCCTGGGGAGAGCCCAAAGAGCCAGGCAGGAGCCCAGGTGCAGGTTGCCCAGGTAACTAGCTAATGTGGAAATTAGTCTGCACCTGCGCCTGATCAGCTGGTAGGAAGGAGCAGGGCCTTGGGCCCATGTAAACCCCAGGCTGAACCTAAGGGAGGCAGTTCTCTGCCGGCAGCCAAGGGGAGGGAGCCCTGTTACAATGAAAAGGGAAAGAGACCTGACTAACCTCTGCTTTGAGTAATGGTAAAGGGGCAGGGTACACCTTTGTGTTAAGTTATAGCCCAGGGGCTTATGTTTTGTTTCTAGTTTTTTTAGACCGGTGGTTTATGTGAGGCTATTTGGGGAAGGAGGAGGCCTCATTGGGGCCCACTACAGAGTGGAGACCCCGGCACCAGAGAGGGCGCATTATTTGGTGGGGCACAGACCCCAGCACCAGAGGGCGAGGCATTTGGGGGGGGGCACAGACCCCGATGCCACAGGGGGTGCAGCATTTGGGGCGTGGAGATCCCGGCACCAGTGAGGGCACAGAGACAGGGCTGCAGAGAGCCCAGTGAGGACAAGGGGCTGAATTATAATGAGGCTGAGGCAAGACAACGCCAATGCATCTGCGAGGCTTGGGGCATGGTAAAGG